CCTTAGCAATAGTCATTATCATACTATATATTTAATTTACATCCCTAATAGAAAGAAGCCCCAATGAGCCTGGGAATTTTGTCTGCTTGGCTCACTGCTGTATCCACAGCTCTTAGAATAGTGCCTGGAACATCAGAGGAGCTCAAAATGTTTTTTTCAGAAGAATACATTATTGGCTACATGTATTTAGGCATTCGTTCTGTGTTAGAGATCTTGCTATGTGCTCTGAGTAGTACCTTACTTAGCACATTTCATCTTCATAACCACCCTGTGAGATAGTATATTATTTCTATTTTTCAGACGAGGATAGCAAGTCTCTGAGACGGTAAAAATCCCCTGCTGAAGCTCACATTATTCTCCATGGCAGGGCTGGGCAGAGATCAGTCTGGCTCCAAAACCTTAACCATTAACTGTGCAAGATGAGCTGTGTTCAGGTGGAAAGAAGGTCCAGAGAGCAATAAAAAGCAACAGAAAATCTCTGGAAGAAACTGTTTAGCACTCAAGACCAAGCGCTGTCCAGTAGAACTTTCTGCGATGATCAAAATGCTCTATACATTTGCTGTCCGATATGGTAGCCAAGTGTGACTAGTGCAACAAAAGAACTACATTTTAAATTTGATTTCATTTTAATTAATTCAAATTCAAGCAGCCCCACTTAGTAAGTGGCTACCATATTACAGAGAACAAATCTAGATCTTTAAGCCTCATCTGGAAAAGCCCAGATTCAGCGATAGGAATGCTCTGGCTCACTGGGTGGGCTGGTGGCAGGCAAGGCTGGTGGGACAGGAGAATCAGAGGGGAAGTGAAAGAAAGTGACCTACTGGACCAGCTTTGTGTAATCCTTCCAAACACCCTGGAAGGGGAGGATTTGTTAACCCAGTCCACAGGCCAAGACCAGAGGGTCAGAGATGTGATGTGCAGTGAGGCTCCACAGGCCTGCTGCCTCAGGATCTTGGTCCACCCCTCTCCCCCAACAACTTGGTCCTTGAGTAGCAGGTACCAAGCAGGACAGGACAGAGGGTTTCCTCAGTAAGCTCCTTTTAGGGCAGACTTTAGGTGGTGACTATATAGTCCATGGGGTTGCAAAGAGTGAGACATGACTGAGCGACTTTTCACTTCACTTCACTTCACTGAGTGGCTGATTCCAGGGCTTCACAGGATTCATAACTGTTTGCGGCAGTGAGTAAACAAGTGAAAACAAGTGAAAGTGTTCGTTGCTCAGTTGTGTCCGACTTTTTGAGATCCCATGGGCTGTAGTCTGCCAGACTCCTCTGTCCATGGGACTCTCCAGGCAAGAATACAGGATTGGAGAGCCATTCCCTTCTCCAGGGGATCTTCCTGACCCAGGAATCAAACCTGGCTCTCCTGCATTGCAGGAGATTCTTTACCATCTGAGCCAGAGTCAACAAGAGGCAGGTTTCCCTGGTGGCTCTGTCGGTAAAGAATCTGCCTGCAATGTGGGAGACACAGGTTTGATTCCTGGGTTGGAAAGATCCCCTGGAGGAGGGCATGGCAACCCACTCCAGTATTCTTGTCTGGAGAATCCCCGTGGACCAGAGGAGTCTGGCGGGCTGCAGTCCATGGCATCGCAAAGAGCCAGGCACAACTGAGCGACTAAGTATACACAGCACAAGAGGCAGAGCTAAAGCAGGAGGGATTTCTGGCAACTAGAAGCTAGAAGTGGGGAAGGCCTTCCTTCAGTTCTTCATCACATCGTTTAGCCAGTCATCCTCAAATTTGTGAATCACAAGTGGTATTTGTTGAAAAGGACATTTCCTGAGCCTTACTTCCAAATATTTATCTTCAGTAAATCTGGGGCAGGGGCCAAGGATCAGCATTCCTGTCAGGTACCCACCCCCCACTCCCGGGACACCCAGGCAGGTACACACGTACACACACACACACACACACACACACACACACACACACCAATTTTTATTCAAATAGACCCAGAATGATCCTTTTGAGAAATATTGGTTTAGGGTGAGACTAAGAACTAAAAAGCCTCTTGATGAAAGTGAAAAAAGAGAGTGAAAAAGTTGGCTTAAAACTCAACATTCAGAAAACTAAGATCATGGCATCCGGTCCCATCACTTCATGGCAAATAGATGGGGAAACAATGGAAACAGTGACAGACTTTATTTTGGGGGGCTCCAAAATCACTGCAGATGGTGACTGCAGCCATGAAATTAAAAGACACTTGCTCCTTGGGAGAAAAGCTATGACCAACCTAGATAGCATATTAAAAAGCAGAGACATTACTTTGCCAACAAAGGTCTGTCTCGTCAAAGCTATGGTTTTTCCAGTCGTGTATGGATATGAAAGTTGGACTAGAAAGAAAGCTGAGCATTGAAGAACTGATGCTTTTGAACTGTGGTGTTGGAGGAGACTCTTGAGAGTCCCTTGACCTGCAAGGAGATCCAACCAGTCCATCCTAAAGGAGATCAGTCCTGACTATTCACTGAAAGGACTGATGCTGAAGCTGAAACTCCAATACTTTGGCCACCTGATGTGAAGAACTGACTCACTGGAAAAGACCCTGATGCTGGGAAAGATTGAAGGCAGGAGGAGAAGGGTTGCATGGCATCACCAACTCGATCGACATGAGTTTGAGTAAGCTCTGGGAGTTGGTGATGGACAGGGAAGCCTGGCAAGCTGCAGTCCAAGGAGTCACAAAGAGTCGGACACGACTGAGTGACTGAACTGAACTGACTGAAGAATGCAGGTAAGCACCGGAACTGAAAGAGGTGGCCCTGAAGGGAAGTTTAGAGGTTGAGATAGGACTGTGAGATTTAAAGGCATAGGTGTTTGTTTTGGGCACCGTCTTGTAATAGAGAAGGCGAGAGGAACCTCAGTCACAGATGTCCAGGCCTTCCACACCTGACACCTATGTCCCAGCTAGTCCAGGCCCTGAGACAGCAGTTCACTTGCGCAGCCCTGCCAGCCAGCTCTCGGATGTGTGGGCAGCGGCTGATCCCAAGGAAAACACGCCTCCTGGCTATAAGGGCCCACAGCCAGGAGAGCCAGCGGATTTCCCCTCTAAACCAACTCCAGCCTCTGCTACTCAGCTCGGCCCCTCACTTCTCCAAAGCGAGATATCTCACAGTCATTTGCTCCATGTTTCCTGTACAATGTCTTTATTTTTGCTCTCAAGTTTGTGGGTTGAGTTCTGTGTGGGTGTGGGAGGGGAGCTGGGTATTTTCTACTTCTCTGCATGTTCCTCCTGAACTGGGAGGGCTTTCACTTCCTCCCCACACTCTCAGTTCTGCCTTTCATGAGGCTGTCCAGGCCTTGAGACCACTTCGCCCGACCCACCTGAGCACCAGGAAAACGGAGAACTGACTGCAATCGCCTGCCCTTGCAGTGCTTCATAGCCACTTAGGAGAAAAAGGAAGCAGCAGCTACAGCAGTAACCTCCCTGGGGCAGGTGCCCTGGGGTGTGGTGTGAGTAGCAACCGAGGCAGGCAGGGCAGGCTTGCTCCCTCCTGGGTGCCCCAGGCCTCAACCCTGCCTTGGCTCTCTCTGAGAGAACAGTGGGCAAACCCAGCCTCCCCTTCCCTTGGCCTCTTCTGGCCAGCACTTGGTCAGCCGGGGGTGATGCCCAGGTTGTCCTCCAGACACCCCCAGCTCTGCTTGCCGGGCTAGTTCTCCATTTGGAAATCTTGGGGATCTATCACATCAGAGCACAGCGCACTGGAGGGGTGGGCCTCCACCAAGCCGGCCTGACAACTTCCCATCCCAACCTCTCTAAATGCTGGCCTCCTCTCTGAAACAAAGTATTATTCAGATCCAGCAGAGAACCTGTGTAAAGCACCGGAGTCCTCCTTCCACAGCTGCTGTTACCAGCTGGGGTTATAAACATGTGCTGAGAAAAGGAATCCCTTTTCTTTCCTCCTTGAAGCACAAAGATCACAGCCATTCAGAAGGCGAAGGCAGCTGCAGGCACACCAGCCCCTGGTTCTCTCCAACAGGGAGGCATGACCGAAGGTGTTCACCCAGGGCAGGGGCGCAGTGCGATCCAGCAGTGAAAGCCAGAGTCACCGGCCCCCAGCCATCTGTTCCCAGAAGCCTGCCGGCTGCCCCCTTGGTTGTCCACTGTGGCCTCAAAGAAGCCTTCAGACCCTAAAATAAACCTCTGGAGAAAACAGTTGCCCGGGTCCTCCAGAAGAGAGCCTTACACAGGCTGCAGGGCATGCCGCCAGAGCCCAGAGCGAGGGCTCAGCCAGCGGCACATTACAGTCCACAGGAGCAAGTGCCCAGTGCCCTCTGCCTCACCCCTCCTTCTCTCGTCTGAAAGTGGAGTCCAGTGTGTGCCGATCTCAAGACGTCTCAATCCCCTGGCCAAACCCCCTTACTGGTCTTAGATTCGCAGATCTGAGGCACACGGCTTGCCAGCGCTGGTGTCTGCCTAAGCGAGTGCGGGCAGCGAACAGCCGGAAGGTCCGTGATTCAGCGCCCATGATGTCACTCCCTTCACAGTCAGGGCACTGTCATCCACACATCAACCCGGGGTCCGAGGGGACAGCCAGGCGGGATGCCTTCCCCAAAAGCTGAGGGGCAAAGGCAGCGCTGGTATAAAGGACGCCCGGGGCAGGAATTCCACTCCGCTAGGGGATCTCCTTTTAAAGTAACCCAGGACGCAGTTGTGTAAGGACTCCTGGGGGGCACTGGGAAGGAGACCCGAGGATCGGGTTTCTGAGAATACACCACGTCCTGTACGCGGATCGCAGAGAGCTTCCCGGAGGCAGAGAAGTCACGGGGAGAGCGCGCCCGGCCGAAGCGGCAGGACGCAGCAAGGGGGCGCGCGAGCGAGCGCCCGCGGGGGGACAGCTGGGGGAGCCCGGGGCCGCACCTTGTGCCGCGGGAACCCCAGCGAGCCCGGGACGGGGGGAGCCGTCACCGCCCCCTGCCTCCCTCCGCCGCGCAGCGTCTACCGCAGCCACCTCGGTTCCCCCAGCCGCCAGCTGCCCCAGCCCTCCGGCAGCGCCCGAAGCCCTTACCCAGCGCGGGGCAGCCCTCCAAGGCCAGCGCCGTCCCGCACGCGGCGAGTAGGGCGGTCAGGAGCGCGCAGCGGACGGCCAGCATGCTTCCTCCTCGGCTAATGCCCCATGTTCCCAGAGAGGCAGGCGGGCGGGCCGGGAGCCGACGACTGGGGCGGGGCAGCGGGCGGGCTCACGCCCGGAGGGCAGCCCCCATCCCCGGGGGGCCCGCGCTCCGCCTGCACTGCGAGTCCCCGAGCCCCGCGCCGCTCTCGGCTCGGCTCCCTCTGGCCGAGCTCAGGGTCAGTGCAACTTCCCACTTGCACATGACTCAGAGCCGCGGACGGTCCCGGCAACGCAGGAAAACATTTGAGGAACTCGCCCTGGAGCCGTCTCTCTGCTGTCCCAGGGTGCTGTTACGAAAGTCGAGGAGGATGGCGCAACAGCCCCGCGCACCGGCCGAGCGGAGGGGGTGGCTTCCTGCCGCCGCGCCGCACCTGAACCTCCGGGGCAGGAGCTCCGAACCCCGCGGGGGCGAGCTCGGCCGGGGACCCTCCCTCTACTTCTGTCGATCAGAGCAGGGGAATTAGACACCACTGGCTCGGTTTTGATTTTTGGTTTCGTGACCAGGATTACTCTGTGAAAGGAGCACCTGGAGAACCCTGGAGGAGGCGATGGGCCTCTTACAGTAAAGCAGGGCTTGGCAGCCCTTTCTGCCCCTCAGAACCACCTGGGAGCCCTTAAAACTATCCATGTCTGGTTCCCACCCCCAGAGATTCTGATTTAATGGATCTGGGCTGAGGCATCGGGAGACTCACTACAGTAAAAGTACAGACAGACCCCGTGCCTGTCTGGCCCCCGCAGTACCGGCAAGAAAAAGGCTTGGGCTTTGGAAGGGGATTGAGACCTGGGTTCCCATCCAGACCTCCACCTACTGTGACTACAGTTCCCTTGAATTGTCTTCATCTGTCAGATATAAGAAAGTCTGTATTGTCAGAATCGTTATGAAGACACTGTGGTTGTGAAGATCTATACACCTGACACAGGGTCCAGGCCGTGTCAAAACGCGGGTGTCCGCCCTCCCGATTTTACTGACAGAAACTGGTACTCGGCTTTTCAGAAGCAACCACAAACACCTCTTGAAAGAGCCCACCAAGGTTCCCCAAGGAGCCTGAAGCTGACAGGGTGTCTTCACATCCGAGTTTGGAGGGAACGAAAAGTGCTGAAATAAGATCTAGGCTGAGGAGTTTCTGGCTGCGCAACTGCTAATTAGAATGTGCTTTTCCATTTGGGCTTTCAGTTCAGTTCAGTTCAGTCGCTCAGTCGTATCGGACTCTTTGCCACCCCATGAATCGCAGCACGCCAGGCCTCCCAACCAGGATCCAGGTTCCTGGGATAACATAATGGGTGTGGCCCGATGGGAGCCCCCTGGAAGGGACCTGGACTGAAGAAGCACAGCTTCTGAAATGCAGCCCTCAGACCCAGGGGCCTCTGTTTCTCTTTGGAAACCGCCCATCAGCAGTGCCTGGAAGGACCAGACACTTGCCCTGCCCCACCCCCTGACCTGATAGAGGCTAGTTGGGAGGGCTTGCTTTGGCCACACCCACAGACAGAGGCGGGGGCGGGGGGGAGGCATGTTGGAAGCTAAATTTTTTTTTTACCACAAGCTCTCTCTCCTGATATTTACTTATTAAAAAAAAAAAAAAACTTATCTTTTTAAATTTATTTGATGTGTCAAGTCTTGGTTACAGCATGGGGATCCAGTTCCCTGACCAGGGATGAACTCAGGCCCTCTGCATTGAGAATGCAGAGTCTTAGCCACTGGACCACCAGGGAAGTCCCTCTCCTGATATTTAAAATAAGGTTGCAGGGAGCAGTTCCCAGTATGGTTGCTCCCTTCCCCCCTCTTTGTGGCAGACCTGAAAAAAAAATCAAAGGGGACTGAAACCAGAAGTCTTCAGAAAGCCCAAGAATGGGTGTGTCAGACCCCACCTAGATTCTGCATCAAAGTGGGCCACCCTGTCTAATTCATCAGCCGGAGCCTGTGTTCTGAAGTCAGATGAAGTTCCCATCTCAGTTCTGCCATTTGCTGACTCTGTGACTAAGGGCAAGCTACTTAACCTCTCAGAGCCTCCGTTTCCTGATTTGTATGATGAGAGCAACAATATGCAAAATATTGGTATTGTGGTTCATATTAAAAGACTGGGCCTATCTTTATCTTCTCAGCCTCATTTTCTGCATCTCCAAGCTTGAGTATAAATCTGTCGCTACAGTGTTATATATGCCTTCTCACCTCCACCCTTGTTCAAGCTCTTCTTTCTGCCAGAAATTCCCCTGGAGAACTGGAATATCGCCTGCCATATCAGTAAACACAGGATGGGGAACTCAGGATGGAGACAAATGGGTTGCCCACTGCCAAGTCCATACAACAGTCAGCTAGATGCAGCCACCCCCCAACTGGTACCCCCTGAGGAGACCCAGGATGAGAAAGCACAGGATAGCGGCCCTCAGGTAGTTGAGGCGTATATCAAAGGAATGATTGCACTGAGACCAGACTCTTACATTTTCCCTTAACTTGAGGTATCTGATTTTCTTTTAACAGTAATCTTTTGATGTTCTGACTACCCAGTCTTTTGTTGCAAAAACGCCTGTATATCCTGGTTTCCCTCTTGCTTCTTTGGAGCAGTCTCTCAGATTTTTGTGAGATGCTGTCTTGAAGTCCTAAGAATGTCCACCGAATAAAATACAACTCTCTACTTTTAGGTTGTGCTTTTTTTTTTCGGTCAACACCCTCCTTTGTCCTACACCCTACTCATCCTTCAGATGTAACTACTAGCCCTCCTTCAACTACTGCACCCTGCGTGCCTAGAGTCTTTGTTCTCCAACAAGAGAAGCCATCCACAGCAGTAAAGTGTAGCCCCTACTCGCCCCAAGTACAACAACGAAGACCCAGCACAGCCCCCCAAAAAATTAAATTTAAAAAATAAAAAGACAGCTGGGATGTCTACTCCAGGAAGGTGACTTCTTGCCTGGAATCCTATCATCCACGAGGTCGGATTAGGTGGTTTGTCTCTGTGCTGTCTCAGAACTCAGTGGTAAAGAATCCACCTGCCAATGCAGGAGACTATCCCTGATCCAGGAAGATCCCACATGCTGCCGAGCAACAAAGCCGATGCGCCACAATAATTGAGCCTGTGCTCTAGAGCCTGAGAACTGCAACTACCGAGCATCTGTGCCACAACTACTGAAGCCCGTGTGCCCTAGAGCTCGTGCTCTTCAACAAGAGAAGCCACCCCAGTGAGAAGCCCACACACTAAAACTAGAGTAAAGCTCACACAGCAATGAAGGGCCACACAGCCATAAATAAATGAAATTAATTTTAAAAAATGACAACAACAAAATAACTCCATACTGACTTTGTCCACCACCCCATCTTGCCTGCCACACCTAAAACTCATCTCTATCCACACTGCTGAGCCGGGCATGGCATATGTAGGCCCTTTGCTGGGGAGATATGGCCTCCCCTGAAACACAGTTGAGCAAGCTCTCTGACCTCCATCAAGCCCCACCTGAATTCACTGTGGTGTTGGAGAAGACTCTTAAGAGTCCCTTGAACTGCAAGGAGATCCAACCAGTCCATCCAAAAGGAAATCAGTCCTGAGTATTCATTGGAAGGACTGATGCAGAAGCTGAAACTCCAATACTTTGGGCACCTCATGCGAAGAGCTGACTCATTGGAAAAGACCCTGATGCTGGGAAAGATTGAGGGCAGGAGGAGAAGGGGACAACAAAGGATGAGATGGTTGGATGGCATCACCGACTCAATGGACATGGGTTTGGGTGGACTCCGGGAGTTGGTGATGGACAGGGAGGCCTGCTGTGCTGTGCTTCATGGGGTAGGAAAGAGTCGGACATGACTGAGTGACTGAACTGAACTCTCTGCACTAAATATAGGTTCAAAAATCATGGGCCAACATTCCAGGCTTTATGATGAAAAATACTGATAAGAAAGAGAAGGGAACATACGTGCTCGGTTCAGCCTGAGTTGCCTTCTCCCAGGCCTGATTCCTGATAACCAGCACCCATGGGAGTCACCTGGTCTCAGGCCCAGCTTCTTACCCCCAGGAAGAGGCAAAGACTCAGGCCTGCAAGGGACACAGACTTGGCAAGAGCTCCAATGTGAATTGCGGAGTGGGGATGGGGATAGCAAGGCACTGGAAATCAGGAGTGAGGACCAGATAGGGCTGAAGGCCTGTGGGGCCCGGGGTTTTTAGACACACTGCAGGCATCGTGCAGTAGAAGCACCGTGAGCTCTTGAACCCAGGCTCCTCTCTTGGGGAACCTCGCTGCTTACAAAGTTCTTTCACAACGTGATCTCTTTTGAATTTCTTAACCCTGAGAACTAGGTGATATACATTGTCCCCCAAATTCAGAGGAGTACCCTGAGGCTCAGAGAAGTGAGGTGACTTGTTCAGGACTGCGCGGCTGCTACCAGGCAGCTCCGAAGTCTGGCTCTTGACCCAGAACTCTCCCTGAAGGGAGGGCGCGGGAGGCACAAGACCAAGGGCTCTGTAGGACCTCCGTGGACCCCATCACTCGATGGGGTAGGTAGATGGCACTCGATGGCGGGGAGATTAGGAGGGAAGAGCAGGCGGACAGCCCCTGGCATATGCCCTCTGCCTTGGACCTCCCAGACCCCCTTCCCCTACCCAGTGTGAGTCCCCGCAGTTGCCCTTGTTCCCCTAGAGAGGGAAGCTCTGGACTGGCACCATTTTTTCAGTACCCTGGTGGTTCAAACAGTAAAGAATCTGCCTCCAGGGCAGGAGACCCAGTTTTAATCCCTGGATTGGGAAGATCCTCTGGAGGAGGAAATGGCAACCCACTCCGGTATTCTTGCCTGGAGGATTCCATAGACAGAGGAGCCTGGCGAGCTACAGTCCGTGGAGTTTCAAAGAGTTGGACGTAGCTGAGCGACTAACACTAGGGTTCCATAGTTGATTCCCAATGTTGTGTTAGTTTCAGATGTACAGCAAAGTGATTCAGTTACACACATATATATATATTTTTTTTTTCAGATTCTATCTCCTTTTACAAAATATTGAATAT